TCACTCACTCACTCACTCACTCATTTGTTTAATTGTTTGCTTGCTCACTCAACAGGGTCCTGAGGTAAGCTAGACTGTAACTATAACAATGAAGAGGAATCGTATTGGTAATTACTCAGAATTCCTTTTCGTTTGAGTGCGTGGTCTTTTTATATCAGGGGCTCGACAGTCCTGAACCCCCGGGGTTCAGGGGTCGTGAGGGGTTTTAGTTTAGGGTTTAGGGTGTATTTAGGGTTTAGGGGTCTAGGGATTAGTGACTTAGGGTTAGGGGTGAAGGGTTTCGAGCTTAGGGTTTAGGGCGCGGTGCGCCTTCTTTTCTTCTTCCTTCTTGTCTTTGCCTGCCTGTTCCTGGCTGCGCTGCCCTAAAACCCAAGGCCCTAAACCTGAAGTCCCAAACCCTAAACCCTAAACCCCTAAACTCAAACCCTAAACCCCTAAACCCCTAAACCCCGAACCCCAAAACCCCAAAACCCTAAACCCCTAATAGTCTAGGCTCAGGGGTTGTCGTGCTAGCTAGAGGCTCAGAGTTGACGGCTTAGGGTCAGACGGCTGATGGTTTCGAGATTTTTGCCACCTGGGGTTTCCAATGAAGGTTAGGCCTCACGCGGCCTTAGCCGAAACCCCAGCCCCCAAACCCTGAAACCCATAAGCAGTAAACCCTGAAACCCCGAAGCCACACCCCTAAAACCCTGAACCCGAGACTAACCTCTGCGAGCCCGAATGCCGAAGCTCAATGAATCGAAAATCCCCAAACTGAAACCCTTTCAGCCCTTTCATGTGGGTACTTCTCTAATACAGGGTCCTTTTTATAGGGGTGCTCTACTATTTGGGGGACCGAAAAACGGACCCTAATTTAGAGAACTACTTGTAGACTGTGGCTTTTGGTGTGCATGTGTGTAGACTCGTCCTTAGCCTGTGACCCTGAAAACCCTAAAACCCAGTTTCCGTTTGCGCTACAGGGGTATCCCAGTTTAGGATGCATACACAAAGCATAACGGCGATTCACTAAACCCTAAGCCTAAACCCCAAACACCAAACCCTAAACTCTCTCGCAAGCACTACATCGGTTGCGGGTTGAGGCTGTTGGAGAGTTTTGGTTCGGCCCGGGGGTTTGGAGGTAGATGTTTCGAAGCCTCGGATCTCGAATATCGAATTCGGGATGACGAACACAGCCCCCCCCCGGGGCGGGGGAGTTGTAGTTGATATAGTATCCCTCATGGTCCCTTTGTCCTTATGATACTGTATCACCAAGACCTTGCAACCTAAGCCCTCTATAACCCCAAGCAGGTTCCTGCGACGTCGACTCCTCTGCGGGCTCCTCAATAGGACGTCCTTTGCAGAGGATGAGGGAGCAAGATCAGGCTTCGGAACTCTTCGGCTGATTTGGGTTCATGGGAACCTTGACGGTGGGCATTGTAGGTCTAGGGGGAGGTTGTGTTTAAGGCTTGGTGAGTATATGAGTAGTTCTCGAAATTAGGCTCCCCATTTTTAGGTCCCCAATATTATACAACGGCACCCTTATAAAAAGGACCCTAAAAACCACCCATATGAGGGTATCTTTCAACACGTAGGTTGTGGTAGCGTAAGGATAGGATTGAAATCGGCTCGAGAGGGGCAAGCAACGTCTGATTCCGGGACCAGATTTAAGGCGGTTACGTACCTCTCAACAAGGGTTTTAAGTTTGCCCCAAGCTCCAAGTCGAAATCGCTCCGCGGCCACAGCAAACCTAAGCCCGAAAACCTCAACCCCAGTGTCCTTCACTGATGGCAGTCGCCTTGGCGAGCATTCTCTTCTCCTCCTTCTTCAGTGCCTGCCCAGGTTTCTGCAGGGTTTAGGTTCAAGGTTTGGGTTCAGGGATCGGGGTCTTGTCTCCAAAATACAAAATATGGAACTTCGTGTTGAGGCTAGGTGAAGCCTGATGCCTAGGTGCCCCAAATATATGGGCGGGAATACTTACTGACATCATTCCTCAGGGACATTTTAGAAAGCATATTATAGCTAGGAAGGGCCCTATACCAACGCAATCTCTGATATCATTCCACAGGGCTCCTTCATATCACTGCATGAAACAAAACATAGGTTATGGTCGTTTGACGCCCCTATACTACATCCCAGCCAACCCCCCCCATGGTCGAGACCTTCTACTTGCTTCTGGGTGCCAACATGAATGACCGTGCCACCCAGCACGGGTTCTCCAGAAGGGGGCTGCTTAGGGTTTAGGGGTTTAAGCACTTGAGGTTTGTGGTTTAGTGTGCTCCAGGTTTGGGGGTTGAGGGTTTGCTTAGAAATCCTCACCACCCCCCACACTTCGTAAGTTAGGGCCTTAGTGGTTCGAACAAGGTCGGGGGAGATACTTTCGTATAACTTAATTAGGAACACTAACGAACTGATTTAGGCCCCTACATTACTGGGACACCTCCGAATGTACAATGGCCCGCATTGCTGTCCTCGGACAATCCGAACCTTCGCAGACAGAACTGGCCTCCGCGTCAGCCACTAAACTTTAGTCACTAAACGCCAAAATAAGAACCTCAAGTGTGACAGTATGGTGCTGCTACTCCCTAAACCCTAATAGGCCCTATACCCCTAAAAACCCTCAAACCCTAAACGGCCCAACACCCCTTAAAACCCTCAAACCCTAAAGAACGATAAAAACAACCGTATCTCTAAAGGCCTCCTCGGCCGCTTTTGCCGCCTTCTGCTCTGCATCCTCCCTGGCGGACGAGGGTCCTGAATGAGCCTCAAGGCGCCCATCTCTGCTTGGAGAGTCGTAGGGTTTAGGGTTTATAGGGGTTTTGGGGTTTAGGGGTTTAGGGGTTTAGGGGTTTAGGGTCTAGGGTTTAGGGGTTTATTGGTTTAGGGTTTAGGCTTTAGGGTTATCATTGTTATTGTTGTTGTTCCTGCTACTGTGAGTTATTCGTGTTGTTATTGTTACAACTATCATTGATGTTTTGTTGTTACTGAAAATAGTGCTATTGTAGTCATGATGTCTACTAGTACTTAAGATTACAGTTATGATCATTGTCACCATCAAAAAGAATCACTAATAATACCAATCTTCTTGTATATTATTACTGTATGTTGCATGTTACTCTGATTTTGTTATATTGCTATTGCTAGCATTGTCATTCCGGTTATGATGCTGAGAGTATCAATGATAAGCCTAGTTAGCATTAGCATGTCTATCACCCTAATTAATCTGCAAGTCCCATGATCTCTCAAGTATCGAACTTCGGATGCGACGCCGTTGTATTTAGGATGATTCGTTCCCATGATCTTAGGGTTTTCACGTTGTCAGAGTCTACCTACACCCGCACGTGGCACCCTTTGTCAAACCAGCTTCCCAAGTAAAGTCTTAAGCACGTCCGGCCACAGGACTTTGATGGGGTGAGGCCAGTAAGGCGCTCTGAGGCAGCCACCAACAAACCCTAAACCCTAAACCCTAAACCCTAATCATCACTACAGACTGGATTGTAGGGGCTTGGGGTTTAGGACTGTTTAGGGCTTACGCAGAGAAGAGGGTTAGGAACCATAAACACTACCTAAATCCCATCATTCAAGGTCTCTGCGGAAGGCTTGCCAAGTTCGGCATGAATTCTTGGAGCTGCAGGAAACCCTGGCCAGGTAGCGGAAAATCAGCAACTAGTCCGAAAATCATGAGCCCTATCAGCACGCATACGAAAGGAGGTCTGACTGACATGTTGGGCTGAACCTCAGAGGGCCTTTTCTAACTCTGACTGCTGAGCTCACAGTGCTGCAAGGATCTGTACAAGTACTCAAAGGTACCCTGCTAGTCGGGTGTGCTCGTCAGGTTACTGTCGTTGTGTCTTTGAATTCTTCATGCGGTGCCCTGCTCGCTACGCTCCTCTTTTGAGGATGAGCTACTTGCAGTTGGCACAGGCTTGCGGTAGCGTTTGGCTTCGTGGACTTGGGAATACATGCCTTTCATGGCTTCAAGTAAAGCATCTCTTGATACTTTGCCCTTCGTGAGAGCGTCCGCGATCATGTCTCTCGTGTCGCACCATGTCACCACATTCGGAATGTGCCGACACATCAAGTCGCGTAGCCATGCCAGATGGGAATACAAAGTCTTTTCGGCAGGTGGCTTAGGACTTATGGCTGTCAAAGCATGGTAGAGGTTCATCGCATCCACCACCAACTCTGATTCCATGGAAAAGCCACCGTGTTCGCGTAAACTGCGAGCCTCGTCACTAGTTAGTGGTCCTGTTTGCACCTCGTGAAGCGTGTATAGCCATGGCACTAGGTTGTCGACCGTGCCGACAGCTGCTAAGGTTTCTGAAGAAAAGGTGCTCCTAGTAACCAGACGAAGGCTTTGAGATTGGGCTTCCAAAAGGTGGCAGACAGATTTGCCATCTCGCACTCCCAACCGTAGTACTGCGGTTCCTCGCATTCCGTAGCCTTTACTGTCGCTTTCTTTGTCAAACGAAGCATCCGAGTATGCAACGAGGTGACGGCTACACTTCATGTTCGGGAAACGCAGTTTGCATTTTTGTTTCTGCAGTGCAGCCAGCAACAAGTTGAGACGGCGCACATGCAGATTCAAGGGGTTGGAAGTGCGGCGCTGCAGTGCTATGACAAACACTGATGCCCAAGCTTGGGACATCAAGGCGTAGGCAACAGCTCCCAGCAGGCTCTGGTAGAGCCCTTTCACGGCCTCACTGCAGGGCTCATTGCTATTCCTTCCCGTCAGTTCTGGGTGACGGATAGCTTTCATGGCACTGATGTACTCGTCTTGGTCCATTTCTATGGATCCGTCTGGTAATCGTGTATGCCTGAGTCCGCAGCTAGTGAAGCAGTTTTCACTGAAAGTCAATTTTCCGAAGCCTGATTCAAGATGAGCTACCAAAGCGTCCACTTCAGGAGGTTCCCCTGCGACTTTTAAATCGTCAACGTGTTTAGCGAGCATCAACACGATCCGACCGTCTTTGAGCTTGACTTCGAGTTCGCTGTCGTACAGCGTCGGAGTTAGCCCTATCTTGGGATGCCGGGTATACTTCGCGAGTTTGAGAGCAAAGGCTCTCGGTGCATCCTTGCAGCCGGTTCCCGGCTTGATACACCGGAGAACTTCTGTTCTCTCGTCGAAGTCCTCATATCCAGGCAGCTGGCGCAGCAAGGCTCCACTGCCAGGCGGAAGTGTGAAGCAAACGTCGCGCTCGTCTTCGCCTGTCAGTTCGTGTATTTCGCGATACGTGAGGCCTTGCAAAAACGCCTTGTTTATGTCCAATGCAATGAACTTCCAGGTGGGATGCAGTGCGGCCTCGCTGCACAGGCATCGTTGTGATTGTCGCGAGGCTGTTGCTGCGTGGGATTCAAGCTCGTGAGCCTGAAGGTCCTTGAAGCCTCTGAGCGCCAGCCGCATACGAATGATGCGCTTGTCAGCTCCTGAGGCATCTTTAAGAACCTTCCACTTTGCAACGAACTTTGAGTCCATCACGTTGTGAGCACCCTTTCTCGGTGTCCTTTCAAAGCATTGGTACCCTTCCCAGATCTTAAGTTCCTCAAGTATCGCGGCCTTGACTGCTTCATCATGCCTTCGGAGTTCCTGCTCTGTAAGCAGGTCGCTCTCACGTTGGATCACTGCATTACGGAAGCCCGAAGCGTACATGCGAAGCACATATGTCTCTGCCGGCTTAAGAAGACTATCGTCCCCTATAACCTTAGAGAACTCTCTGGTGAACCAAAGCTCTGTAAAACCATTCCCTGATTCGTCATGCTCATTCAAGCGGGCGTACTGGCTTGGGTTGATGCCTAGTTGGTGGTGTTGGATGTAGACATCTTCCACGGGTTCAAGCTCTACTGGTGGCATGTACAGGGTGTTTCGGGTGTCGTAAGAAGGCTCGCTAGACTGCTCTAAGGTTTCAACCTTATCTAGCTGGAAAAATATTCTTAATGCTTCTCTGGCAGCCTCCGACAGGTCAGGTGCTGTTTCGAGGAGTGCAGCATAGGCAACATCCTCTGGTTCCTCTGCTATCACTGACAGCGGTCCATGTGGGGTGTGCACTGAGGGTGCTGACTCACGTTCGCAGCCAGCGTCTGGAACAAAGTCTTCAGACAGGGACTCGTGAGTTTCTTCGGCGGCATTCTCGGCAGCTTCGGCGAGTGTGACTTCGTGCTCTGCTGTATGGATTGCCTGGATCACCATGACACGTGGGTAATCCTTACCGAACAAGTCACTTAAGTCTACTTTTGTCCCATCTAAACTAAGAACCTGAAGGTCTTGCTCAGTGGAGTGCATCCACCACAGGATGGTGGAATGTGAAGCACCTGGCACTGCAGAAAGGCTTTTGGCGCCACGGGCGAGGCGCGCACCGCTGCACTCGTCCAGTCGCCATACATTCGAAAACAAGTGTTCAAGGGCATGAAGAACCTGAGGGCGTTTCTGTGTGGCTGCAGTGAGTTCCCACTGGCCTGTGGGTGAAGCAGCAAAGCCGAAAAGCAGAGACTGCCCGGGTGATATCCGTTGAAGTTCTTGTTCTATCAGCGCCAGGCACTCAGTTCTGCCGCTGCTTGCCCCAACAGTGAGGAAAACAAGAAGGGAATGTCTCACATCTTGTGCTCGGTATGTGCGGTCTACACCCTTTATGTTGACAACAACTTGACCAGGTTCTACTCTAACTACTCTATGTGGCCCCCACCAACCTGACGCATCCTTGCTGCTGGGCTTGCGGTGGATGTCAATCAGATCACCCTCGTGGTACAAGTGTTCTGTAGGGTGCGAAGTGCGGGTCCTAGATGCACGAGTCAACTTGGCCATCGTCGTCGCCTGAATCATGGCCTGCAGGGCGGCTGCGCGGACACGTGCCCTTTGGAGTTCACCTCTCTCAGAACTCTCATCAAGGTTAGGAAGGTCTGGGGCATCCAGAGGTGGCAGGAAAGCAGGTTGCCTCCCGAAAACTGCCTGGAATGGGGTGGAACCCCCAACATGAGTACATGTGTTCCCAGCGAACACAGCCTCGGCAAGGGTGGCCGCGAATGGGTAAACCAACTCTTCACGCTCCAATTGTTCTTCTATGAGATGCAACGTTCCACGAAGGATCGCCCCCCTACGCTCAACATAGCGGGCGTGTTGTTCGGGAGCTCGCAGTTTTGGTTCAGTGCCCATTCGGCGAATCCTGTCCATTATCTCCGGTCTCCACAGACCGCCCTCGCCATCACAGATGAGGAACTTTGGCGGCCCAAAGGTGTTGAGCCAGCATGTGCTGAGAGCTTCGAAAAGGACTTCACCCTCTTTTGACGCGACCGCAGTGGCGGAATGCCATCTGGTTGCTCGGTCCAAGCCATGGAAAATTATGTGCTCGCGGTAGAAAAGCAGATCCACCTCTAAGTGTTCATTAAAAGCCATACTTACACTTAGGGAATGCTGGGTGTTGGGTTTAGGAGACTGCCATTTCCTGCACTCGCGGCATGTCTCGATGACATTGGGAATGAGATCTAAAACTTTGTTGCTGAATCCCGCAGCTCGCAAGATTGCAGTCATGGACTGGCGACCGGCATGCCACAGTCGCAGGTGAAGCTTTCGAAGTTCCACAAGTACAGCTCGTTCGCTGCCTGTTCGAAGGACCTTGAGAGATCGGCTGATGTCATATCTCGTCCAGTCAGCTGGGTTTTCAGGGCCGGATCCTGCTTCCTTGAAGGCTCGGCGAGATCGCGGGCCTCGAGATGCTGAGGGATCAGGTTCAGCTGCAGAGCTCTGCTCACCTACAGGCACAGGTGAAGGGAGCATTTCATCGTCTTCTGCAGGGGCCTGTGGCAGATGAATGCCTGGAGGGGACCGGAGTATGTCGGCCAGTTCCTCTGCAGATACAGGATCTGTCACTTCTAACTCAGGTCGTCCAGGCGGGTGTGCAGAAGAGGAGCTGGGCGCACTTTGCTGTTGATGTCGATCAGCTTCAGCCTCTTCGGCTTCTCCAAGGTCGCCCCCGCCCGGCAGCTGGGCTTGCAAGTCGGCTCCCGGCGCATCGGACGCAGGCCTAGAGGGAGCGCGTGGGTGCCTTCCCTTACGCCTGGCTCCTTCGCGGCCTTCCACAATGGCGTGTTTGCAGTCCGGTCCAAAACTGTGTGAGGGGTGTGTGAGTGGACGATGATATTTACAACCAGGGCAGGTCCATGTGTGTGGCACATCATCCGGAAACTTGCACTGACCACGAACCCGGGTGTGTCTGTCATCGTAACGCGCCTGTCTGCCTCTGCAGCCTGGGCACTTTCTCCACTGTTCTTCAGAGGGTGCAGGCAATGGCTCATCGGCATGAAGGGGTCCTGGGCCGACTGCTGCGGACGGGAATGCACTCTGGTGTTGCGAGGATTGGCTATCCGCACTAGCAGTCGTCATGAGATGTAAGCATGTTCGAAGAAGACTCACCCCATCACTGAGGCACTGTGATACCTGCGAGGAAAGCTGTAACGGACTGCTGTTGAATGAGGGATTATCTGCGAGAAAGACTCTCAGTGGAGAGAGCAACGCAGCGTGGTTTGCACACACATGCCGGTCTGTGTGTCTGTAACCAGGAACCGTTACTTGCACTGTGGTCGGCATTTGTAGGAAGGATTTCCAAGGTGGGCATTTATAGAGGAAACTGTCTAACAGCTGTTCAGAAATCAAGAAGTTACGAGACTTAAACTGATAGGATGCTGCAAGGCTTGCCAACCGGCTGGCTGTGGGGTCTCCGGGGTCCGGCGCGGCTATGACCACTAACGGGTTGTGGTTAAGGTACACCCCTAATTGCTCCTGGTCGTTGGGAGACCCGCTTGCAATTTGTGTTATTGCTTGGCTGGCGTGGAAAGGTGCATGCACACGGTGCACAGCTACGGTGACGTAGGCTTGCTTTCCTCCGCCGATATACAAGGTGTCGGTTCCACCGGCGGGCCACAGCGACATGTGATCCAAGAGGTCATCCAAACCAGAAGCGATGTAGCATGTACATGGTTGCTGCGCAAGGTCAGGGGCAGCACAGGATTCAAGGATCCATTCGGGCGGCAGTGCGTCAGCACACAAGTACAATGCGGAATGCTGTCGCAGCCCAGTCTCATCAAGAACGTTGGGCAGGTAGGGGGCCAGACTCTCTAAGCTTGTGCCGCAGTCATCATGATGGTCTTCAACATAAGTTGGACGTTTGCATGGCTGAAGACCACGGGCTTTTAAGAGTTTGGCACGCTCCTTTTGCTGCATCCTGGCCTCTGTTGGGTAGCAGTGGTTTGGGTTCTCTGAAGTTTGACCCGCTGATGCTGATGAAGTTGGATCAGTTTTCCGAGTGCAGCCAGCAGGGCGCACATCGGGCGGAACTGAGGCACTGAAAGGGCAATTTTGTGACCCTGACAAAGTCCCATTTTGGGCTCCAAAACGTGGGTTTGTCCCGGACCCTGACAAAGTCCCATTTTGGGCTCCAAAACGTGGGTTTGTCCCGGTCATGTTTCCATTGGCTGCAAAAAGAGGTTCATGATCATCAGCACGGACACCTTTGTGATCACCAACAAGGGCTGCATTTGGTTCGCAGACCTGTGCAAAAGGCGGCGCGACAGTTGGTCCAGGGTCGGTTGTGGCCTCCCCGGGCAGTGCTGTACCAAAGTCACCAAAGTCACTCCGGGCAGGGAGAAAATCGAAGGACGAGGAGTCCTTCGCTGCTGGGACTTCGGGAGCCGGGGTGGCAGCTGGGTAGTCGGGTGTGCTTCGTCGAGGAACTGCGTTGTCGAGCCAGCGGGCCGCAACATGTTGCACCATGGACACGTGCGCCTGACTGCGCATGCGGCGGCTGTGGGGATTGGTGGTCCAATCCAAGACGTGCTCACGCTGCGGCTGCACGCATTTGCAGTTGTGGGATTGCATGGAGGGAAAGGCGGCGCACACAAAACAAGCTTTAGATGGCCGACTGGTGTTCGGATCAACTCGAAGATTAAAATGACACATGCTGTGATAAGACTTGGCAAGCACGCCTTGGCCAATGAGGTCCGCGACAGGGGCTTGAAGCCACTGGCCACCATAAGCACCAAACAGGGCACATGGGATGTCAGCGGCAACAGCTTGGCGGAACCAAGTGCATAATTGTACCAAAGCTGAATGCATGCGATCTGCACGGATGTGGCGGCCTTTGTGGGGCAAGTCAATCCAAAGCGCATGGATTTGCAGGTTACGAATGCGTTGTGATACATGTACGGCGGCTGGGCCCAAAAGATGATTGTGGTGAAGATGCTCAATGCGCCAACCTGCAGCTTGTAGCACGGAGGCAGCAGACGGCATTTCTTCAATGACTAGGGCAAGCTGAGGGTGAGCCGCAGGTGGGAGTGGCGTGGCACCTGAGGTTATTCTGCTTGCTGGCGAGGGCGGCAAGGCCACAGCACAAGCATTTTGCAGACTGCGGTGGCTAGCATCGGAGGGCTGAGATGTCGCAGGTGCAACCGACTGGTTGTCAGTGCAGCTGTAGCTCTGAACAAGCCTTCCTAAACCTTGAACCGGGAAACCCAAACCTTGCAACGTTGTCTTTATGTGCACTGGGAGCTGCGGGGCGCTGCGACCTACAAAAGCGGTAATGGAGGTGCGCGAACCCTGCCAAGGGTGCGTAGCATGGTACCTTTTGGGACTGAAGGAACGGACCTTATTATGGGTTGACACCAAGATACCCTGAACTTTGGCACCATTGGGCTTCACCTTTTGCACAATGTTGTTGCAAGACAGTTTGGTTGGTTCATCATCCTGTGGACGTATCTCCAACCAAAGCTCACCGCCCGAAAAATTTCCGAAACTTACTGTTACATTTCGGGATCGGCCCAGGTTGTGGGAGTCCAGGTGGGGCTTTATGGGGAGATTTCTGCTTACGGACAAAGATGTCCACACCGGATGCTGTAATGCTTCATCACCGTCGCTGCGGCAATGGTGCAAGAGGAATTGGTTCAAGTATTTGCAGAACTGTGGATGTTGGCTACTGAAAACCGTTATCCCTGCCATCGGCCCATAGTTGTACAAACCTAACATTAACGAATCCCCAAAACCATGCCGCGGCTTTTGAGTGGCAACTCTGAGCCGGCGTTGTTGCGCCGGAGCACTGGCTATTAACGCCTCGGCAGTTGCGAAACGATAGTCTCTGGCTGTCAAGCAAGCGGCTGCCTGTTCTTCAAGAGTTTTGCTGCCTTGCGGCAGCGCGGCAGCAATCAATGCGATTCGGGAGATTTGCTGGTAGGCTCGCGAGGCGTGCGATGGCGGATTACTCCTGAGGAGGATGCTACTGCATCATCTTGTACAGGGAGTCCGTGTACAAAAGCTGCTTCTGGATCGATGGAAGCATCAGGAACAACTGGGAAGACCTGGCTTTCAGGTCTCAAGTTGGTTCGTGCTTGGGTTTGCCCGAAGCAGTCACATTTGAGTAGCAGGTGGCCGCTGGGAGCCGTCATCAACGGATATGAGATACTCCCTGGCTCCAAACCGATCGTCACACCTGCCGGACCTGGCACGATCAGCTTCAACTCTGTGTCATCTGGTGACATGATGAGGATAGCTGCTTTCTCTCTGAGACTCTTCAACCCAAGAAGCGCTGGGAGATGGCGGCCACCTTGCGAGATCACAGGGGCCTCAAATTGATGATGCGCCACAGTTTCTACGCCGTCCTGCTCACATGCAAACGAAACCGGCATAGTGACAGAGTATTCGGCCTTCTGGGAGCCGTGACCGACTCCCTGCACGTGCAGTGGTGACACCAGTCGCTTTTGTGCTGGGCAACGTTTATGCGATGCACACTTTTCAGCCATCTCACGAACCCAGTCTTCACCGACAAGGTTAGTGTAAGCACCTGGGTCCACTAGGATGGCACTGCACTGCTCTGCTTTTGGCAAGACCGAATATGTCCACCACGGAAAGCTTTCAAAGTTTTGGTAGGGTGATGGCGTGTCCCCTGCTTCGGGGTTGCTGGTGCACGGAGGAGTGGACACATCGAAATCTTCACGCTGGGAGCTGCGAGCTCCCGGAGTCTGCGCCCGAGCCTGGGGTTCTTCAGAAGGAGTTCTTGAGTGATGGGCGCTTGCTTCTCCCTCTGATACAGCTACCTCACACCCCTCGACATACGAAAACCTTGCGACGATGCGGGCGCTACCGCGGCAGATGGGGCAACACAGAATGCCATTCTCATGCACCAAAAACTCAGTCCAGCAGCTGGCATGAAAAACGTGCCGACAAGCCAGGCGGAACACAGTCTCCCGAGGCTGATATTCCTCCTGACACAGTACACACTTGCCTTCTACTGCTTCATAGGTCTGATTGTCGGCAAGTTTAGGCAAATCAAACGTTCGCTTCTGAAGTCTCCTTGCTTCCTTGCGGCGTGCCTGAACAGCAACCTGTGTCGACCGAAACTGGTCCACGAAGGCAGCGCTACTGCTGCTGGCCTCTAAACTTGATGTGTGCGCGATGGCTGGAGTCTCTGGCATGGGCCTTCCAAGCCAACGCCTGGTGACTGCCTCATTTATCTGGAATATGCCTTCGATTAGTGGGGCCTGCGTTGCATCAACTTGTGACACTCCTGCGTCGCCTGACCCTGGCAGTCCTGAAAACAGAGGCACATGTGGAGGATCCCGGTACAACAAGGGCTGTGTTACAAATCCCATCTCCGGTAGCTCAGCCCAGGCAGGTAGTGTGGGAGGTTCACTTAGCCATGCTGTCGATGCCGATCGGCCTGCTTCCTGCCACGGAGTGCTGGCCACATTCCACATACTTGATTGGCCACCAGCATTCTGCGTTGACTGCGCGGCGGCACTTGGTGCAGGAGCAGGAGCTGGGGGATTCGGCAGTGTGCGGTTGGAGCCTCCGCACGGCACATGGCGGTCGTGTTAGGGCCTCCGGCATGCGCACGGGTCCTCGGAGGAATGGGCTCATGCTCTGGGCTGAAGTTGAAGGCTCCATCTTGACGTAGGTACTCGGCCCACGGGTCGGTCGGTCGCTGAGAACCTAGGCTTGAGGCACTTGGGTAGGTCCAAGAGCTTTCAGTCGCACTGGGCGGTGCTTCGTCAGGAGCTGGGGCTGCCATGAAAATCAGCCCGGCTAGCGGCCCTTCATTGTACACCGACTGTGCCTGCGGCTGTATGCCGTCAGGCTGCTGCACCCAGAAGTTGGAGGGCTGACTGCCGCTGTGAGTCGGTGCACTGCTTCGTTGTGGACATGCGCGGCTGAGGTGTTGTTCGCTTCCGCATTTGAAACAGCGCATGCGCTTCCCATCCTTGCCGATGGGGTTCTCTTTGCGTCCTTTGCCCTTGCCAGAGCTGCGCTTGCCTTTACCTTTCCGGAAGCCTTTGAACACCTGCGCCACTTCATGCTCCTCAAGCGCGGCGAGGAAGGCGCCCACGTTTGGACGGCCCTTGCCCGTGAAGCCTTTGCCTTGGCCCTTGCCTTTGCCTTTTGAACGAATGCAGCGACGAGTGAAACGTCGTACAGCTCTCGTGGGCTTATGCATGTGTCGGCGCCACTGCGACTTTGCGTGTTGATACGCCCAGAACAGCTGTTCAGTGATATCCGCTTCACCATCCGGCAAGGGCTCTGGGGGAGGCATGCCATTCGAAGACGCTGTGTCAGTGTCAGTGCCAGCATCAGAATCATTGTCCTGCTCGTCTACTGGCATGGCGGCGCCTGCCCACCCATAGCCATCTGGCTCGGACCATTGGTCCTGTCCATGGCCTTCATTCGCATCTGCCTCGGAGTTCAGCAAGAAAGCTCGCTGTCCTCTGGCACTGTTGTCTCGAAGACTGGATGCTATGTTTCCAGGGGCATGCTCTAGGACGTGTCCCATACGCCTCAGCTGAACCCGGAGCGCTTGGAGTTCAGCCTCTGTTTGTGGCACACGCCCTTGGAAAGGCTGCAACAGCTGTATGAGCTGCGTGTCATTCACTCCCACTGCTCTGAACAGG